CAGCAGATATAGACATCCCCACCCACTGACTAAGCTTCGGTGGGAGAAATGCATTCGAAGGAACAGTCTGTGGGTGGAGATTACTACGTCCGAAGGATTGTACCAATCATTTTGTTTGAACATTCCATCATCAGAGTGCGGCCATTTTGTTCTTTGGACACAGTTTGATGGGCCATGGACAGGCTTTGTTGCAGCACCTGAATACTTGGAGGTAGAAGGAATTTAATAGCTTGGAGCGACTGCAGATTTTTTCATTTCAAAAAGTTTTTCCAGATTATGGACGCGCAAAGTATTTAGTCAGATGGAATTGGGACCATTTTTCTAGTTGAGTTCCCCAGGACACGTTGATGCAATTATTTCTGATACAAACGGAAAACCAAAAACGTTAACAAAAAGCAACACAGAGAATAAATAACACCCATATAACAATAACTAGGCCACCATTTTCCGGAACTGGCCTCAGCTGAAACTAAACTCTGGACCTGACCCCACTGGACTGACACCAAATGCGTTGCATTAAACACAAAAATACCCAATGCTAAAAATAGCATGTTCCCCCTAATTGTGGACAACTAACCTTGACGTGAACTGTCCATATGTTTGTAGCACCCTCCTAGTTTAGCCACGGGGGGAGATAGATCCTAATAGTTAGTCTGGAGCCGAGTAGCAGCTCAGGTGAGATAGCCAGAGGGGTCAAGTTGTGGTCAGGGCTGAGACACTCTGCAGGCTAACCCCTCTGGAATTTCCCCCTGCTCTGAGGCTTTCGGAGGAGGGCCTTGGAGGCAGTGAGTGGATTTGAGGAGTGGCTGGCTGCACTCTTGAGGGACCTCAGCCAATCCCCAAGAGAAGAGAAAAGGAGAGAAGCGCCTCTAAGTGCAATAAGTCTTTTTATTCAAGTCTAAATGTAGAAACACTCACATGTGTGAAGTAATCATGAGCTTACAAACCGTGGTTACCAATAGTTACCGGGGGGGTGGTGACCCGGGAGAAGAGCCGTCATCTTACTGCGATGTGGGGAGGTCAGCTCTCGGCTGGAACAGCTTGGTGGCTGGAGGGGAACAGCGGTGAGGCCGGCCGGCGTGCACGTCCTCCCTCAGAGCCGGATGGAACGCACGCTGGAAAGCAGCGGCGGCGTGGCCGTGATGACGTCAGATCCCAGGGTGCACTGCGACGCGTTTCGGAGCATGCACTGGCCGTGGAAGGCGGAAGTGCGCTCCTTTTTCAAGCAGGGGGAGGTGGATGAACATGGGTGAATATATAGGGAATGTGAGTCTAATTGATCAATTAACCAATTAACCAGTGATTGACCATTGCTGTCAGGTGAATAGTGTAAAGTCATGGATGGTAAATGGGGGGGTAAAGGAAACCAAATGGAAAAAAGAGAGGATGTAATAAATAAGAAAAAAGAAGAAGAAAGAAAAATGATGAAATGAAAAAAAGAAAGAATAAATGAAAAAAATGAATGAAATGAAAAATGACATTAATAAAAGATTTTTGAACAGTTGAAAATCAAAGAAGCTATGTGAAAAAAGTTCATGGGGGTAATAAGAATACAGAATAAAAAAGGAAACAGAGCTAAAAAAGAAAAAAAAAAAATCAAAAAATTAAAGAATTAAGAAATTAAAAAATGTATAGTGGTATATATATGTTATAGGATTAAAATTAAATTATTAAATTTACAAAATTTGAGAAAAAAAAAAAAATTATATTCTGGGAGATTAGTGGGGTAAAAGGTTCACCGTGCAGCACTGGGACATCAATTATGTAACAGTAGTGAGCAGATATTTAGTGGTCATGCAGCATGATTGCAGGGTGGGATATGGCTCTACAGGAGCTTCATAGTAATGATAACATATATACATGTTACTAGCGGGTATATCGACAATGGGTGGTAACATGGTAGGATGATAAACATATTGGTAATAGTACATGCAAATGACATTATAAAGACTAAATTACATTGTAAAAAATAGAATAAAATATAAATAATGAACAAAAGGTTATAAATAATAAACTAAAAAGTGGATTAAAAAATTCAAAAATTGGATAAAAAAGAAAAGGAAAGTATCATTGTGAGTGTTGAGTGGCTATGAATCCATCGGATTGCCAGACAGAGAAGCATGATTGGTCACTCCAGAGAACACGCCTCCACGGCTCTAGAGTCCAGTGGCGGCGTGCTTTACACCACGGCATCCGACGCTTTGCATTGCACTTGGTGATGGAAGGCTTGGATGCAGCTGCTCGGCCATGGAAACCCATTCCATGAAGCTCTCTACACACTGTTGTTGGGCTCATCTGAAGGCCACACCAAGTTTGGAGGTCTTTAGCTATTGACTCTGCAGACAGTTGGTGACTTCTGCGCACTGTGCGCTTCAGCATGCGCTGACCCCGCCCTGTCATGTAACGTGGCCTACCACTTGGTGGCTGAGTGGCTGTTGTTCCCAGTTGCTTCCACTTTGTTATAATCCCACTAACAGTTGAGCGTGGAATATTTAGTAGCCAGGAAATGTCACGGATGGACTTATTGCCCAGGTGGCCACCTATCACGGGACCACGCTTGGAGTCACTGAGCTCCTGAGAGTGACCCATTCTTTCACCAATGTTTGTAGAAGCAGTCTGCATGCCTAGGGGCTTGATTGTATACACCTGTGTCCATGGAGGGGATTGGAACACCTGAATCCCATGATATGGAGGGGATTGGAACACCTGAATCACATGATATGGAGGGGACTGGAATACCTGAATCACATGATTGGGAGGGGATTGGAACACCTGAATCACATGATATGGAGGGGATTGGAACACCTGAATCACATGATATGGAGGGAATTGGAACACCTGAATCACATGATTGGGAGGGGATTGGAACACCTGAATCACATGATATGGAGGGGATTGGAACACCTGAATCACATGATATGGAGGGGTTGGAACACCTGAATCACATGATATGGAGGGGATTGGAACACCTGAATCACATGATATGGAGGGGATTGGAACACCTGAATCACATGATTGGGAGGGGATTAGAACACCTGAATCACATGATAGGGAGGGGATTGGAGCACCTAAATTACATGATTTGGAGGGGATTAGAACACCTAAATCACATGATTGGGAGGGGATTGGAGCACCTAAATCACATGATTGGGAGGGGATTGGAACACCTAAATCACATGATTTGGAGGGGATTGGAACACCTGGATCACATGATTGGGAGGGGATTAGAACACCTGAATCACATGATATGGAGGGGATTGGAACACCTGAATCACATGATATGGAGGGGATTGGAACACCTGAATCACATGATATGGAGGGGATTGGAACACCTGAATCACATGATATGGAGGGGATTGGAACACCTGAATCACATGATATGGAGGGGATTGGAACACCTGAATCACATGATATGGAGGGGATTGGAACACCTGAATCACATGATATGGAGGGGATTGGAACACCTGAATCACATGATTGGGAGGGGATTAGTACACCTGAATCACATGATTGGGAGGGGATTGGAATACCTGAATCCCATGATTGGGAGGGGATTGGAACACCTGAATCACATGATATGGAGGGGATTGGAACACCTGAATCACATGATATGGAGGGGATTGGAACACCTGAATCACATGATTGGGAGGGGATTAGAACACCTGAATCACATGATTGGGAGGGGATTGGAATACCTGAATCCCATGATTGGGAGGGCGGGGCCAATACTTGGAGCAATATAGTGTATCTTTACTGTCTGAACTTTTTTCCTGACTAAAAGTCTGTCTTTTCTCCTCCAGATTACAAGGCAGCAGTACCAGAATGCATTGACGGCCAGCCGGATGGACAGTTCTCCTCAGTCTCCTGATATTGAAGTGTTCAGTGATGGAGAATCTGCAAAAGTGACAAAGTACCAGAGAGTGTCGGAATCTCCGAAGGAGGACGCGGTCACCACTCTGCTCAGTGACAGGAACTGCAACTTAGGTGAGATTTATGGTGGATGATTTGTGGCTCGTTCATCTACGGCTCTGCTTGTACAAATATATAGGTTTTCTCCTCTCAAATTCGAAAATGAATCCTTAGACTGCATACAAGGGGCACAGCTTACCTGTCCAAGGCTCAGTTTCTTCAGGTACATCCCATCCAGGTCTACTCTGGTGGGTAATCCATTGATATAGAACCCCTTCTTCGTCCTGCCTGGTTGTTAGGTGGTAAAGATGTTCTCAAAGACACCCACTGAAGGCTCCTCGCTGCTTCTCTCATACAGAAAGAAGCTCCTCGTAGCTCCCAACGTCATTCAGTCTTGGCAGTATGAAGCTTTTTCAATAAAACATCAAGAAAGGTTCTGATTGAACGTCCTTCAGAACTTCCATATGAATAAGAGGTCTGAGTCCCTGGAGTGTCAGATTCCTGGTCTCCCCCCGCGCTTCGTGGTTCGAGCTTCAATATTATTATTATTATACAGGATTTATGGCGCCAACAGTTTGGGCAGCGCTGTACAATATACAGAGTAGGCGATAGCCAGACAAACTAAGGGAAAAGAGAGTTCCAGGGGATGGGAGAGACTCTGGCGAAGTCCTGGAGATAAGCATGGGAGGAGGAGACCATGGAGCTTGAGAGCAGATGATCATGAGAGGAAAGGAGGATTTAGGTGATATTTGGAGACAAGATTGGTGATGTAGCTTGGGGCAGAGTTTGTGGATGGCTTTGTATGTTGCTATTTTGAATGTAACTCACTGGGCAATCAGAAGCCAGTAGAGGGATTGTCAGAGGGGGTGGAGGACACTGAGTGGAGGCCAGTGGAGGGATTGTCAGAGAGGGGTGGAGGACACTGAATGGAGGCCAGTGGAGGGATTGGCAGAGCGGTGTGGAGGACACTGAATGGAGGCCAGTGGAGGGATTGGCAGAGAGGGGTGGAGGACACTGAATGGAGGCCAGTGGAGGGATTGGCAGAGAGGGGTGGAGGACACTGAATGGAGGCCAGTGGAGGGATTGGAAGAGATGGGTGGAGGACACTGAATGGAGGCCAGTAGAGAGATTGTCAGAGAGGGATGGAGGACACTGAATGGAGTCCAGTGGAGAGATTGGCAGAGAGGGGTGGAGGACACTGAATGGAGGCCAGTGGAGGGATTGGCAGAGAGGGGTGGAGGACACTGAATGGAGGCCAGTGGAGGGATTGGCAGAGAGGGGGCTGGAGGACACTGAATGGAGGCCATTGGAGGGTTTGGCAGAGAGGGGTGGAGGACACAGAATGGAGGCCAGTGGAGGGATTGGCAGAGAGGGGTGGAGGACACAATGTAGGCCAGTGGATGGATTGGCAGAGAGGGGTGGAGGACACTGAATGGAGGCCAGTGGAGGGATTGGCAGAGAGGGGTGGAGGATGCTGAATGGAGGCCAATGGAGGGATTGGCAGAGAGGGGTTGAAGACATTGAACGGTTGGTAAGGTGGATGATTCTGGCAGCAGCCTGAATGATAGACTGAAGAGGGGATAACCTACGGAGAGGTAGGTCTATGAGAAGGGAGTTGCAATAATCAAGTCGAGAGATAACCAGGGAGTGAATGAGTAGCTTGGGGGTTTCATAAGTTAAAAAGGGGTGAATTTTGGAGATGTTACGGAGGTTGGAGATGTTACGGAGGTTGGAGATGTTACGGAGGCGAAGTCTACAAGCTGTTGACAGCGATTGGATTTGGGGCTGGATGGAAGGACAGGTCAGAGTCCAGGATTACACCTAGCACCCTGGCATGAGGGGTCAGCAGGAGGAAGCACAGAGAAGAGTGGGTGACCAGGAATCTGAAACCCCCGGTGGTGTAAAATACTGAACATTCTTTTGGTGGAGGTTTCTCTCCATCACACCAGACCGAGACCAGAGGAGCAATGGGAGAGCTGAGAAAAAAACTATCTTCTTATAGGGAGAACTCTATTTCACTTGTCAATCATAGCAATACATCAAGAAAGATTCATAATGAAGAACATGTTCCTCAGAGCTTCCTCCATCTGAACTTGTGTGGTCTGAGTTTCTGGAGTGTCAGATTCCTGGTCTCTCCCTGCGTTCTGTGCTTCATCCTAGGGGTCAGCAGAAGGAAGCATAGAGTGGCATGGGAGACCGGGGATCTGACACTCCCGGAAGTGAACATTCTTCTGGTGGAGGTTTCTCTGGATCACAGCAGAGACCAGAAGAGTGGGCAATGGGAGCGCTGAGAATGAGATCTTCCTCTGAGAACTTTATTTTACATGTTTATTACGGGGACAGAGCCCATTGAATCATAGCAATGGAATCCCATTCATAGAAGGTTTGTCTGCTCTGGTTACATTGTGCCCTTCATGTGATGATTTGATCATGGTTCTTAGTGGACTCAATCACTAGATGTTGCTTGGGAGCGGATGGACTGATCACTGATATCTGATGTATTTTGTCCCACCAGCCACCAGCAGGTCAGATGGGTTAAAAAGTCCAAACGACTCTGTGTTCCTCCACATGGAAGATATCCCTCGGATAAAGGAAGAACTTGCAGACAAAGATAAGTGCAGTACGTGTACAGAAATCAAATGTTTTCCTTTTCATCGAAGGTGAAGCTAGAAGTTTGATGAGTATTATAAAATGATATGTGTCAGATTGGGCGTCTGTTGTCACAGGGGGAGTGCTGGTCCCCCCAAACAAGTGTTCATGGGGAGAAGGTGATCCAGATGGGTTGGAAAGCCTTGGCTTAACATACATTTTGCTGAACATCAAGTTTCCTGTTTATTAAAATGGAAGTTCATGTTCATAAAATATTCCACCTTTTAGGTGCTTTAGGTGTCTTCTTCATCTCAGTGTCTCTGAAACATTTTTCTCTATCGTCCACCGAAGGACACGGCTTGATGATCTTCAGCAGCGTAGGGTTATATGGCTGGTCAGGAGGGGTAGTGTGGTGGATAGTAAACACTCAGAGCCCAGTTTGCAGGAAATAGAACTCTATTGAATTTGAAGTTCAGTAATGCACAACAACTGCCAGACAGGATCATTCGGTTGGTTGCCATCTGTTTGGTACGTTGAGTTGGGAATTCTCTGTTGTTGACACGTGTCACCCTTCCATGTGCTCCTTGCTGGAAAGGCCAGTTATAGACTGGGGCAGTTGCCATGTGTTTGTACTATTGGTATATTGGTGGGGGGGATGCACTGGACACCTTGGCTGCCATTGTGCTATATGCTGGGTGTCCAGTGTGCCCCTGTGCCTTTAAGGAGGGGTGGGCTCCCTCCAGGCATACCTGTCCTCAATCTATCCATTATTACACATGTGCTTCTACTATGGAGGCTCTTCATAGAGTTAGGAACTGCATACTGGGGTACCGTGAAGAGCTTCTGCAGCTTACACATGTATTTGCAAATGTGTGCAAACTAAACCAGTTTTGAACGGGAACTGTTAGGAAAATTTGTTTTGTTGCAGGCTGGTTGGTTAAGTTGAGCTGGGAATTTTTCCCTGTTGTTGTTTGACATGCCCGCTCGGGAGCACTCACAGGATGTACAGTAGGCCTCAGGTGTGCCAACAGCGTCTGTATTGTGGAGCGGAATGTGGCCTGGCCTGTCCAGACCCAACTGGGGAGACTTCCAGGAAGGAAGACATGTCCCTTTTCCCTACTCGTGTGGAACCTCACTGACACTAAGCACTGTCCCTGACAGACAGGTGACCTGTCCCCAGGGGCGGACTGACAACTCATGGGGCCCCCGGGCAACAGGGGATCATGGGGCCCCTGTGTCCTTGCCCAAGCTCAAAAAAGCCTATGAAAAAGGTACCAGGGGCATCTCATGGGGCCCCCTACTGACCCCGGGCCCTCGGGCAGTGCCTAAGTTTCCAAATGGTCAGTCCGCCCCTGCCTGTCCCTATTGTCCCACATGACAAATGCGCACCAAACCTGGTTGATGTAAATGGACTGTTTATGACATCAGTGTGACGAACCTGCCTTTTGTGATAACATTTTGCCCTTTCTGTTCCGGTTTTCTCCCTTTGGTAAGTGGTCTTCCCATTCTCCCCTCGGTAAGTGGCCTTCCCATTCTCCCCTCGGTAAGTGGCCTTCCCATTCTCCCCTCGGTAAGTGGTCTTCCCATTCTCCCCTTGGTAAGTGGCCTTCCCGTTCTCCCCTCGGTAAGTGGTCTTCCCGTTCTCCCCTCGGTAAGCGGCCTTCCCGTTCTCCCCTCGGTAAGCGGCCTTCCCGTTCTCCCCTCGGTAAGCGGCCTTCCCGTTCTCCCCTCGGTAAGTGGTCTTCCCGTTCTCCCCTCGGTAAGCGGTCTTCCTGTTCTCCCCTCGGTAAGCGGTCTTCCTGTTCTCCCCTCGGTAAGCGGTCTTCCCCTTCTCCCCTCGGTAAGCGGTCTTCCCCTTCTCCCCTCGGTAAGTGGTCTTCCAGTTCTCCCCTCGGTAAGTGGTCTTCCCGTTCTCCTCTCGGTAAGTGGTCTTCCCGTTCTCCCCTTGGTAAGTGGTCTTCCCGTTCTCCTCTCGGTAAGTGGTCTTCCCGTTCTCCCCTCGGTAAGTGGTTTTCCCCTTCTCCCCTCGGTAAGCGGTCTTCCTGTTCTCCCCCTCGGTAAGCGGTCTTCCTGTTCTCCCCTCGGTAAGTGGTTTTCCCCTTCTCCCCTCGGTAAGCGGTCTTCCCGTTCTCCCCCTCGGTAAGCGGTCTTCCCCCTTCTCCCCTCGGTAAGCGGCCTTCCCGTTCTCCCATCGGTAAGTGGTCTTCCCGTTCTCCCCTCGGTAAGCGGTCTTCTCGTTCTCCCCTCGGTAAGTGGTCTTCCCGTTCTCCCCTCGGTAAGCGGTCTTCCCGTTCTCCCCTCGGTAAGCGGTCTCCCCGTTCTCCCCTCGGTAAGTGGTCTTCCCGTTCTCCCCTTTGTAAAGCTGTGTATGTTTAGCAGCTGGTATGTAGACAGACATTCTACACTGTTTGTTTAGGGGAATGGGGACTTGTAGTCTTTCACTTCTCTAGATTTCATACTGTGCTGATTGCTGTTGTGTTGTAGAGTTTTGTTGTGGGTGGGGAAAACCAGGTGCCAGACTGTATGGTGGGGGTGAAGGGGGCGGGGATCACTGCCAGCATGTGCTGTATATACTGAGCTGTGTTCAATAAAGATTCATTCATTTACCCTACACGAAGTTCCGACTCGTGGTTTGGGATATCAGGGAAGGATTGTCTTTGAGCTCTAATACCCGCCTTGGCAGAGCGCTGGAAGACTTGAAGGACAAGGGGACCATTGGCTGAGACGCATCGCTCTGCACGAGGAAGCCCAGGCGGAACGGTTCCACCACAATCAGCACGCTCACTGCACACTCCACAGACAGGAACAGCCCACCGCTGGACTGTGGGGAGTGCGTTTTTTCATAGGATCGGCGGATCAGGTGAGTATGAGCTTAGTCCTCACTCCTAGAAGAAACAAGCAGCTGATCCATGCAATGGAGGTTCAGCCCCACTGCATGGTAAAAAAGAAAATAAATGGAGTTGTGCTTTAGTATAACCAAGCTGTGTCCCTCAATGGCTGATAGAGAAAATAGGATTTTGGAACTCGCTATGTGGGACAGAGGATGGACCAGGGGGTGGGGCTAACAGCACCGTGCTAAATGGTGGGTGAAGCCACCACTATCTCAGCTTAAACCTTCTCCCACCCCCACACTAAGCCCTATACTGACTATCCTGCAAAGGAAAGATGTCTATACTTACCTATTCTTGGGGCATTCCCATCTGGTCACATGATCTCCCCAGTGGTGGGATTCAGGGGAGACAAGAGAGAGCCGACAAGAACTGCATTACCTGGGCAGAGATGTCCCCACTAGGCTTACTCTGGGGCATCTGTTGTCAGCTCTCCCTCTTCCCCCCTGAAGCCCACCACTGGGCTGATCGCGACACCAGACTGGGGGGCCCTTAGACTAGGTAAGTAATCACCAGGTAGCTAGTATAGAGCTTAGAATGGGGGCGGGAGCAGGCTTATGTTTAGATGATATCAGCCAGGACTTATACAGTAATGGGGGAAGGGGTGTGGCTACAGAAGACCTTCAGGTCACAGAGGTCAGAAGGCAGGAGAGCAGAAGACCTAACCCTAGCAATACAACCCCCAAGACAAAACCACCTCTAGATCATCCCCTCCCCCCCCTTTATTGTAAGTGAAGTGCGCACGTTAGAGGGGCTTTGTGATTGGCTAGTAATGGCGCCAGGAGCACACATCCCTACCTCCTGCTCCTGTCCTGCAAGAACACTGCCCCTCCTGCTAAGGCCAATATCGTTCCCCACTCCACACCAGAGGCCTCCACACTACAGTCCCAGTGATTGACCTTCATATCCCAAGGAAAGAATGTCCACACCAAAGAATAGAATGGCTGCACTTTACTGATGGAATTCAGGGGATGGCAGAACAGTCACTTCACATCAATTCTGGAGTCACTTCACATTACACAGTCAATCATATTTAGTGGCCGGTCCGCAGGAGTCTCATGTGAAAGCATATGCAACACTTTAAAGTGGAGTTCCACCTAAAAATAAAAAAAAAAAAGTCAGCAGCTACAAAAACTGTGTTTGCTGACTTGTAAAATAGAGACACTTACCTGTCCTTCAGTCTGGCGGTGTCCTCACCATGGCTGGTTTCACCGGCCGTCTTCTCTCCCTGGCGTCGGCATCTTCAGTGTGGGCATCCGGCTGTGACAGCTTGTGGCTTCACAGCCGGGTGCCCACTGCGCATGCGCGAGAAGCGCTGAGCTTTGTGAATGGCCCCGTAGTCTTCTGGGACCTGTCACGTGTCCCAGAAGACTATGGGAAGGACAACTTCTGCTTCCTATCGCCT